ACCCCACCGCCCCTACAGCATTGTAGGTACACGGATAACATCTATATTACTCCGGGCTTTCCTCCCACACCGAGCGGACACTGTGTTGAAGAAGCTTGGCTAAACCAAACTCACTCACTCAGTTCCCACTAATGCAGATACTGCATACACTGTGTGTGTAGTATCGTTTAAATAATCTTAAAGCGACTATTCTAATCAAGGATTTAAATTTTGAAAAATTGTTCTACATACAAGAGCACACCTGTATGGAGACGGTACCCACGATACAACTCACATTGCTCTGCCATCTGACGTTTGTTGAAGTTAATTGTTTGTTTTTAAAAATAATTATTAGCCGAATGTACAATGTAAAGTTATCAATAATGTGTCATTTTAGTTGCAGTTATTTTCGTGGCTCTAAGTGAAGGCCACGGCCACGGTCACGGTCACGGTCACGGTCACGGGCATGGGCATGGGCATGGGCACGGTCATGGACACGGGCACGGTCATGGTCATGGTCATGGACATGGCCATGGGCACGGTCATGGACATGGGCACGGTCATGGACACGGTCACGGGCACGGTCATGGGCACGGTCATGGACATGGGCACGGTCATGGACACGGTCACGGACATGGTCATGGACACGGTCACGGACATGGTCATGGACACGGTCATGGGCATGGACACCACGGTTGAAACAAGGAAAAGGTATTGAAAATCCCCCGACATTCGTCAATAACAAAATGAAAGGTGTTAAACATTGTAAAATATGTAATTCTGGGGGTAAACAGTGCTCACAAGTAACTTTCCATTATCGTAAGAGGGCGACTGAAAGAGACAGGAGCGCCAGGCTGGGTCACGTACTTGAAATGCGTGTCATCGTGCCCTAATGGCGTGTGGCATTGCTCATAATATCAACCACTGGCATACCTGACTCTATTACTGGCCGGACCCGTGACGATCCGGGTTAGAATTGATCTTCAGTAACCCATGTTTGTCGTAAGAGGCGACTAACGGGATCGGGTGGTCAGGCTTGCTGACTTGCGTAGATCAATGCTCATGCTGTTAACCACTGGATTGTCTGGCGGCGTTAAACAAAAACTCATGATGTAAAACATCACCCCTCATTCACACCATACTATTATGACTTAAGTTAGCTGACAATTGTGCTTGAACAAGGTGAATATAACAGCAATTCACTTCATTTATTCTTACAAACCCATCCATTAGATTTTAGTTACATCCATATTGGAATTCAATATATAGCTAAACAAATTGATAATTGAAAATAATGACGCTATTCTTTTTCAGATTATGCGTAAAGCTGTGGTCGGAGCCATTTTGGAAACTGGGATTTTTTATCTGAAATAATAAAATAATGATATTCAAATGAGTGTATGTTTTCGTTGATTAATACATATACATATCTCTTTGGGGCGGTATAGTAACAATTAATTGACATTTTGTACCTGCATGTCAAGCATGCATAAAGGCTTTCCAGGCTTGCCAGGGATGGCACAGTGGTAAGGTTACACCAAGGTTCAACTCCCTTCAGAACATTTGGAACCATTCTCGATTCCAGGATGGCCTGGAACTGTCCGAATGTTGTTTTCCATTGTAGTACCATTGTAGACTAACGAGGACGATCCGTGTGTAAAAGGGACTGGACCAGACAAACCAGTGGTCGACAGCATGAGCACCATTTCACACATCAGAGTACGTTAATACACAATAGAATATATCACAATTTCAACCATCAGATCCTCATTACAAATCAACCAACCAAGTCAGCGAACCTGACCACCCGATCCCGTTAGTCGCCTCAAGTTACGAGAAACACGGGTTACTGCGGACCAGTTCTAACCCGCATATTCACTGGTAAATACTTTTGCCGACAACATGATCAACATTCCACACATCAGAGACGTTAATACACAAAAGACGAGGTTAGTAATTTTAACCTTCCGATCCTCATTACAAATTATTATCATAACGTATCCAGTCCAACGATCATGGGATTCTGGCACGCCCAGGGGACGCAACTCTTCACACGACATGCCAAAACTGAACCAATGAATCGCTGCGCATACAGTCAAATCATTGCAGTGTTAGCACCATGTTCGTGGTCATTGTCAAGTTCTTTGTCGTTGTTGTCGACGTAGCTGTTTTCGTTGTCGTAGTCATGATGGTACTTTTAAAAAAACAGACATCTTCGCAACGTTGGATTTTACTTCCTTAAACTAACCTGCCTGGCAAAAGGAAATATATTCCAATGTTTGATGGATCAACAAATGAAACCAACAAAAAATGGTTACTCGATGGTAGTGTATTTCATATTAGAATCGGGACGGTGGGGTAGCCTAGTAGTAAAAGCGTTCGGTCGTCACGTCGAAGATCCGGTTCGATTCCCCACAATGTGTGAACCCTTGTTCTGGTGTCCCCCGCCGTGATATTGCTGGAATATAGCTAAAACGACGTAAAACTAAACTCACTCACTCATATGAGAATCATAGCTGTGCTTTCGGCGGCTGTTTTGAACCAAGTCTTGATGACGTTTGCAAATGTCGCTCGACAACAGCTGATATATCGTTATGGCAATACAGTTTTCAAAGCAGTGTCGCTCACACCGAGGCAATGTCAATTAAGGATCAACGGTACCTCCTTTCCACAGTGATCCTTTTGATTGCGACGATCAAGTATACATGAGCCCTAACCTACTCAAACATTCAACCACACACTCAAACATTGACACAAATATCACTCACGGACTCAAACCGACAACAAGACACCATGTCACTGTTGAGCAATGGCCAATGCTTGTCCAGTCCATATTCATTTTGTTGGGGACGAGATTATATACAGACAATAAACATTCCGTCACTCACTTACTTAAACTCTCGTACAAATCTATATTTACACACTAAACGCCAAAATAAACGTTACCCTCCTGCCTTAGTGACAGAGGTACCTATCTTCAGCTGGCGTTGTGATGCGTGGACGTCCACTTCTTGGTCTGTCTACGCTGACCCCAGTCTGACTGAAGCCCTGAATAAGTCTTATAACCGTCATACGATGGCATCCGAAAGCGTTGTACAGCATTGTATGTCGACCCCATCTGCTCCATCCCAATGGCTCTTCCTCTCTCTTCAGCTGTTAATCGTGGCATATTTCTCGTACTTGTGTATCATATCATGCATTCTAGGCTCTCTTTATACCCTATAGAATCATTCCACATGTGAAATGGATGTAAATTCTGCTTGAATATTGCTGCGTTTAGGCGATTGATATTGTTATGTGTAAACAGGAAATGGAAAAATGTTCCTTTGCAAGCAAAAATGTTAACAAAGATAATTTAAGATGTTCCTAAACTCTTTTTAACAATACCAAAGACACGTTTTACTTGCTTTCACTAAAGCAAATCAGCAGAAAATGTTTTAAAAAACTGTAATCATCGGCATGATCATTCTACAATTTTACACACTCTGCAACAGTTGTTTTAATTTTTGAAAAATGGTGACTTTAAATGGTTATCTTTGTCTCAAAGCAGAATCATATTTCAACCTTTCTTTTGGACATCTAAATCACTGTTGTTGGTGTATTTCGGCATGGACGAAAATAGGACAATTTAACTCCTCTGAAAAGGATGCATTTCACCTAAATATGAAAATCAATGCATTTGAGAATTTGTTTCGTGATTTGCATAAAGTTGTGTTGTTAAGCTTTCTTGTAAACTAATACCTTTAACCATATCTTTGATAGTTTTTCAGCAATTCATAAAGGTAGGAGGGTAGCGTTTCTTTTGGCGTGTAGTGTATGCCCTGCTTGACTGTACTGATTTTTCCATCACAAGGGATAAATATTTCAGTGTCAAAACAGTCCATGACCTTTTATAAAGTGTTTAATTCTCATATAAATACTGTGCTTTTAAAAAGAAATAGAGTTAATCTATAAATTTTGATGTATACAGTGTAATATTTTATAGGACGGCAATATATGATTAATGGCTGAGATTTTCAGTGGCCATGCCCTTGATGGGGGTTGAAGTACTGTAAAAATTGTCTCCCTGAGAGAGTATGTTAGCCCACATCATTCAAAGCATAGTTATATAAACCACAGTTTTTAATCGTAGTATATATGTAGATTATAGATAAATGGCTAAAACTTACATACAATAGCTAACAGCTGAAGGGATGGTTTAAATCCAGCTTCAGTTCATGCAGGTAGCAAAAGCACTGTAAGTCCCTATGGCCTCTAGCATGGCTATCTACCTAAAGTTGTTGGCGATCTAGAGCCCCTTGTATCGTTGTTTAGAGTCATATATTTTTATGGTTACGCACTATTTTTAAATAAATATTCTGTGATATCTAGTAGTTTTACTGTCTTTCATTGACTGGTACTTATTTGATCTAAGTTTACTTTTATTGATGGATATATTTTGTAGTCACGATATGGTTGAAATATTGCCGATATGACTTTAAATGTTAACTCACTCACTCACTCACGCAATCACTCACTCAATCACTCACTCACTCACCTAAACACCCACCAACACACTCAATGACCTTGAGGCAGTATGACACTGTTAATCAATTATCAATATTTATCACGTTGTGGGTGATGACAACTTACTCAATGTATGACACGATATTCCATGCTTAAATGTCTGGATGATGCAATAGATTGAAGATTTATTTTTAGATGATGACCTTAAATTTTCAGGGTGTAAGATTATTCGAGTTTTCTTATACAGCTGTCATTTCGTACGTCATTTTCATGTGATCTAAGACAGTTCCCAGCTTTTCTTGCCTATAAAACGGAGTTTTCAATGTTCAAACTTTCAAGACCCCGCCATACTGATTTGCTTTGTGTAATAATATGACAGCAAACTATGTGTGTTGTTAATGAAACTCCCTTGTACTGATTACAGAACGTCTACAGTTAGTCCTTAAAACATGAGCAAAAACATTTTTTTAATCTCTGAACATGGATCGAAGACAAAAGGCACTTTTCTGCGTCTTGTAATAATTTATTTCAAAATATTTCCCTTAGTTCCCCAATGTAGCTGTGGCCAAAACGTCACGCTTTATCTGAAAAAAAGAAACAAAACATTTTCAGCATTGTCATGACGCCTCAACCACTTAACTAATTGTTTAAACATGTGTCTGTATCCTATCTAAATATACATATATTTCAAATGAAATGTCGTCATAAAACAGTAAAGGTGTATTGCGGTTTACATTTAACATTTCCGGGCATAATATCAATAAGTATGATTATATATATTATGATGTTATCAAAAATAATAATTGATAATTATTAAGCGGAGCGGCTGGCAGTCCTAACATGACCACACAGAAGGGATCGAGTTTCAGGAACAAACTTCATATCATCGGAAAGTTCTCTATGGGATGATTTTTGTTCTGATTTATCCCTAATATGTATTCATAACCACTGGCCAACAAATAGGGTAAGAAAATGTTTTTCTGCAATTATTATTGGCTGAATTATTTTTTTACTTCAGAAATTTCAGAGAATTATTTCCTTGGTGGTATATCGAGTTATTTAGCAGCAAGAGAAAATCCAATTGACTGTCAGTTGAGGGAATGATATATAGATTGCCAACAAATCATTTCGAACACTCACATAGCTTGAAAGCCTTTTCTTTGTTTCAACCGTGGTGGCCGTGACCATGCCCATGCCCATGCCCATGCCCATGTCCGTGACCATGTCCATGACCGTGACCATGACCGTGCCCGTGACCGTGACCATGTCCGTGTCCGTGTCCATGTCCGTGACCATGTCCGTGTCCATGTCCGTGTCCATGACCGTGACCATGTCCGTGTCCATGACCGTGTCCATGACCGTGACCATGTCCGTGACCATGACCGTGACCATGTCCGTGACCATGACCTTCACTTAGAGTCACGAAGACAACTGCAACTGAAATAACACATTGTTTATGGCTTCCACTGTTACATTTGCCAAATAATTAACTCGAATAAGGAAAAGCGGTTGACAGAACTTTTTTGTAAATTCTTGACGCTTTTTCCAAACAGGTGTTCTCTTGTAGGTGGAAGACAGACCAAAATTCAAACAATTCACATCCTTGAAAGGCGATATATGCTACCAGATTATCCACATGATATATACTACCCCATTATGAAAAGGATAATACTCGAAACCGGAGTGAATTGATTTAGGTGCGCCTGTAATCAGTGTTTCAGTTATGTCTGCTCGATGTGGGAAGAAAGTCCGGAGTAATGTAGGTCTTAGATATCTATCTACTGTAGTGGCACAGTAACGAGCACAGGAAAGATGCTTACAAATAAAGAAAAATAATCTGGGCGAATCTGTGGTTCGAAACCACGATATCAGGAGATCCCTACCCACCAAAGGGACACAACTCTCCACAATAAAATACCCAAGGCTACTTGGCTACCGTGCGCCGGTACTTGTATCGAAGAAATGTTAATGAGACTTGTGATGTCAAAATGATATTGTAGATATCCACTGAAGTAAACGAAATGAATAAGAAATATTTAAATACTAATATTAAATATAAAAGACTCATTTACTCACCAAGTGCAAGACACAGTAGCACTGTAATGTTTTTCATGTTGGTATTGATGTCTTCAAGGAATCAGTGCTAATGGAACGCTTTGGTGGTCGTTGTCGATCTTTTATAGTTTCGTTTAAAGAAAAACAGTAAATCATGGTGATTTTTTGTTCAAAACAATAACACCCCCATGGCGTCATTAGTCACTGGGATCAACGTTATAGAGTTAATCCTCTAAGCTGTAGTGCCCGAAATGCCTCCAGTGTCGAGCCACCATGTGGTAACCACGTGCGCAAGATTGTTAAGTATACACGATAAGGGCCCTATTTAATTTCTTATGATCCCTGAACATGATTTACTGACATGTGTTAATCTGTGTTAGGTGAGCAAAAAAATGTTTCAACAAACAATCATTTAGAGGGGTATTATTTATCTCTAATAAGTAGAATAAATCTTAATGCAAACTTAGTATTACTTATCACGATTCAGGTAAAAATAGCTTTAAGAATACTTTGTTTTATGAAATACTTGCATAATATCTTTGCCACAGATGTTCTGGGTCTATATTTTCGAAGCTCTCTTAGCGCTAAAATAGTCGTAAGTGCCATACATTAGCATTAACTTACGACTACCTTAGCGCTAAGAGAGCTTCGAAAATATAGGCCCTGTTCCCCGAATGTCCGTTGTGCTTCTCGGATGGAACTCTTTAGTGGCTGTTTCCAAAGCCCCAGAGCGGGTTTTCCCTTGTGGGGATCCGGGTTTTCCCTTGTGGGGATCCGGGTTTTCCCTTGTGAGGATCCGGGTTTTCCCTTGTGGGGATCCGGGTTGTAACTGGTCTCCATCACATCCTTGTCACTACTGTGTTACAAATATCTCGATATCCAAGAATTTTCATACAAACGCGAAATAATAAGCAGAATGTTTCCACGGACAGTGATTCAATATTGCGATTTTGAAATGCCCCTATTGGCCACCGGGCTCACTTTCTAACAACACAACATCCGATATAACATAACTGAGTGATTTAGTGAGTATGGTTTTGCGCAGCTTTTAGCAATATTCCAGCAATATCACGGCGGGTGACACATAACATAATTCACTTTACTGAGAGGGCTGGCAAACACATCTACACCGATCCATTTTACAAAACAATACATCAATTATTCGTAACGTAAAATACTGACAAAATATTGATTTCTTTAAAAACACTTTTGTGTTCAGGTCTATATGATGGAGTACTTCCAACAACGCATTCAGAATTCTGGATAAAACTTAACTATGTCAATACACGAAAGAGTCCGTAAAACTGTGTTGAAAAGGGAGTGGCTATATCGCAAGGAGGAAGGCAATCATTCAATACAAGCGGGTAAGGCCTGTCAAACCAGACACGAGGTTGATAAAATAAATGACTGTAGGAAATCGCACCAGGTATTTTTTATGTTGACTTTGAAGTTTCAAATGATAAAGCGGTAGAGGACATTAACCCAGCTGATAACGGGGAGAACGGGGGACACACCAGCAACCCTTCCCGAGAGCGCAGGACGCAGGGTACTGGCTGTTGAATCACTATGTCCAGGTAAAGTTTTGTTTTTATATTTCACAGCAAATGTAACCTATGTGATATTTAGGGTTGCACTTTTTCAGTAAAGTAGAGATTCTGGTATATTTGTTTGGTTGAATCCCAGCAGGTATTCAAAACCTCACTCTCAGAGCCAGGCACCTATAGTCTGTTTGCAGTGAAAACGTACCGATGAATTTCTCTTTAAACGAAAAAGTAAATCAAATAAAGTGAAATTAGGATTGCGAATCCTCATCATTGTACCTTACAAATTGAACATTTAAATCTCATAATTTTATTCAACTTAGGATAAAAGTTGTTTAACAAACCATCATAGATTCAAATCGATATTACTGGTTTGTATTACAATGGAGTAAGCGCAGTAGTTGGAACAGTGAAACAAATGCACGTGCGGTACGTGAAGAGCGTTTACTTAGAACAACCCTCGTCGTTCTCGGTGTTTCATTTGATGTGCATACCCCCTTGTAATACAAATCGATAATAGCGATGTGAAACTATGATCGTTCGTTAACGATTCTACTACTTTCTATGAGAGTACAGTGTAGAAATACATGTTTTACAATATCATAGGCAACTATGCCACATTCACACTCAAGAGACAGAATGCTCAGTGTGCTGATAGGTAAAAGAGCAGCAATATTATTGGAACACTCTGGCATTTTATAGCATGCAGACCATAGTCTGTGTTAGGATATCGAAAAGTCTGATATCTTTCAAGGTTAAGTCTCAACCTCGTTACAGAAGCAACATGTGAATCCTAAGCTTTAAGTATTCTTTCTTTAACCAGTACAGACCACTCAGCCTTCGTTAAGAAGGAAGACTGGTTTACATAGTTGTATAAATGCATATCTAGGTCATAGGGAGAGACCGCTTTTTTGGTGGTACAGCCAGGTGTGCGAGTTGCACGCATGAAATTGAAATTTCACCACAGACGCTTGTTGATGGCCTGGCTGTTTTATCAGCAAGTGGTCCCCGATCGTACAAAATAGCGGTAAGCGGCAACAAAATAATGGTCGTTTGTTGAACAAAGTTTTTATTCGGGTGTCCAAAATTATGAGACAAATCATCAGAGCTGGTCTGTCGATTTCATGTGACTGTGCAACATTTGGTTTTTGTTGCATTTATTAGATCTTGTGTTTGTGAGCAATTCATCGGTCTCAAATGAAATCAAACGGATTATAACTATTCATAACCAGCGTTTCCTTTTTTGCATTCTAAAGCTTCGTTTTAATACTTGAGATTTTCATTGCGATGGCCTGAGATTAAGATGATATAACTTTGTTAATTTGCCAATAATCTTCATTTCCTTGGTGTGATAATACTACCATCTTGCGAGGTGGGACGGTGGGGGTAGCCTAGTAGCTAAAGCGCTGGCTCGTCACGCCGAAGACTCGGGCTCGATTCCTGACATGGGTGCAATGTGTGAAGCCCATTTCTGGTGTTCCCCGCCGTGATATTGCTGGAATATTGCTAAAAGCGGCGTAAACCTAAACTCACCCACTCTTTGCAAGGTTACAACATTGGGAGTGTCGAGTTCTGTCCATAGAGCAGGATGTGATTACATTTTCATGCCAGTGTCGCCACAGATTTTCAGTGATCCACTTATATAGTTCTCACCAATAAGTTTACTTTTAAACCCAACGATTCTGTTTCACTAGATTATCGAGCCTCGACTCATATTCCCTTGCTTAAACCTTTTATATTTCTCCTTTCTCTTTCAGATATGACTCACTGACTCTGGCCTGGGTGGTCTTATCAGCCGCAGTCATCCTTCTTCCTCCCATGCTCTACGCGCTACAAAAATGTCACCCCTGCACGTGTTACCGACAGCAAGGGGAGATAACCGCGAATTGCACAAGCAGAAACCTCACTTCCGTTCCTGAACACCTACCTCGTAATCTCACCAGCTTGGAGATATCGTGCAACAAAATATCACAACTAGAAGAGACGAGCTTTAAACGCTATTCCCAACTACGTTACCTCAACATGTCCTTGAATAAACTGGTTGCCCTGACTAACAAGACTCTAGCGGACCTACCTGACCTTATGACACTGGATCTGCACAGCAACTATCTCCAACTTTACGACAAAACCTTTCCACCTGGGTTGTTTAAGTTTCAGAAAAAACTTGAAGTGCTGCTGCTCCACAACAATTCCCGCGCTGATAAGCAGAATATGAAATACCCGGACGAAACCTTCTCTGATCTAATCTCGCTGAAACTGCTTCGCGTTGACGGACTGGACGATCCGGTATTTGGTGTTGGATTTAAGAACCTTAAAAACCTCACGACCTTAGTCTTGAGCGGATCGGGGGGAACATGTGCTATCCAAACGCTCTCCAACACCACGTTTATTACTGTTCCCAGGATCAGATTCCTTGATCTCACCAACTGTCAAATCACGAAAATACAACCCTTTACCTTTGTCCCTCTCCGAGAGATCCACACACTGGACTTGTCGGCCAACGTGGATCTGACTTTCGGAACATTAGCCACCGGCATGCAAGGTACCGTCAACACCTCACTAAAGGTCCTGAAAGTGAACAGAATTCACAGAAGACGTGGCGCTGGCGTGGTAGTCTCTCTCCAAGATGTCCAGTACCTATCGGGCAGCCAGCTGCAGGAACTTCATACTGATGAGAATCAGGTTGAGCTTCTGGACCGCAGCGCTGTACTGGCTTTACCAACAAGCCTCAAGGTCATTTCAGCTAAACGCAATAACTTCATCTTTGGAATATATATGTTCGGTCTGTCGAAGTTGGTTAACCTCGTGTGGGCCGACACTTCATTGCAGCACCAGTCTCATGTTAACCCCTTCTCTGTGGGTGAGAGACGATACCAGTCTACGTTAGTCACAATGATTCAAGATGGTATTTTTGACCCAGACTTGTACTCCTGTACAGTTCCTGGTCAGTCGAAGAGTAAAGAATCTTGCGACGAGGATGCGAGACAAGACCAGGAAAAGGCCAGGAAAGACCTGGACACACGTTCAACACTTTCCCTCAGCGTCAACAATCAAACAGAAGAATTGCCTCCCTTGTTTTTGACATTTAAGAAGCACAAAATGCCACTTCCTCAAAACTCTGCAAACTATTCTGGGTGGCCAGGAAACTTCACCGTGTTTGTTCCACCAAACGCAGAATTCTTGAACGTCAGCAACAGCAAGATGAATTATGTCATTCCGAGGGCACAATTTGGGCACAATAAAGCGAAAGTCCTGGACATGTCCCATAATTTTTTCACACGTTGGGAAGGTCCAATACTAGGCCTCAACGCTTTGAAGTATGTTGACCTGTCTTACAACTATTGTGATTATATTGGAGATAATTTTTGCAAGAATTTCCCTTCATTAAGAGTTTTGAATATCAGTTCCAACTTTCTAGGATATTCACTTAAGGACAACAGTATCAACAATCTCCTCACTCTGGAGGTCCTCGACATGGCCAACAACAAAATCAACCACCTTCCCCCAAATCTATTTAAGAATATGACTCAGATGGTTCATCTGAACCTAAGCTATAACTTAATGAGAACATGGGACACAGACATCGGTCACATGGGGAATCTCACCATGTTGGATATTTCATATAATCTATTTGAAGAAGTACCCCCAAATCTTCGTTCTCAACTTGACGCTGCATCCGCCCAGGATATGACCCTGCTTCTTGAAGGGAACCCTCTGAAATGTAACTGTGACAGTCTACCGTCCTTGAAGTGGTTGTCTGGTCATCTCCGTGGTGACCAACATTATATCTGCACAACATCCGACAAGAAGACCGCTGTCCTCAATATAAACACAATAAGAGACATGACTCAGAGACTTGATAAATCCTGTGCGTCCTATGTGGGCGTCATGATAGGAACCCTCAGCATTGTCATGATTGCCGTGTCTTTGGGTGTGGCTGGTGTGGTCTACAGGTACCGCTGGAAACTCAGGTATCTGTATTACCTGACCAGAAGCAAATACAAAAGGCTGAATCCTGAAGGCGATGAAGGGTTTGAGTATGATGCTTTCATCTCCTACGCGGATGAAGACAGACGTATTGTCATTGAAGACATGAGGCACAGGTTGGAGGACACAGAAGGGCTCAGGCTCTGTATCCATCACCGTGACTTCCTTCCTGGAGATGACATTGCTGCCAACATCCTCAACGCCATTCGAATGAGCAGGAAGACGGTTGTGATGTTGTCCAGGAACTTCTTTAGAAGCCCTTGGTGTAAGTACGAGTTGGAGATGGCTAACATAGAGAGCATTTACACAGAACGGAAGACACTGCTGGTTGTCATGCTTGAGTACATTCCTGTGACGGACCTTCCTCGGGATATCCGCGATATCATTGCACACGAGTCCTATGTTGAATACACCGACGATGAAGAGGGCAATGAGGTGTTCTGGGAGAATCTCAAACGTGGAATGGTCAGTAATGTGAGCTAATCTTTTCCCAAAGAAGGAATCTGTTCCCACATTCTCACTGTTGAAAATGGTGTTTTACCCAACACGTACTTTCTCACTCAGTGCACCCTCAGCTGGCATGGTCAGACAGTTCTAAAGAGGTGCAAGTCGCAGGGATTTCCGAATTGTGCTCATAGACTGTCCCGGTGGGATTAATGTAGTGTCAAGATGGGATTCATAGACTGTCAAGATGGGATTCATAGACTGTCAAGATGGGATTCATGGACTGCCAAGATTGAATTCATACACCGTGAAAGACGGGATTAATTGACTGTCAACATTAACTGTCAAGATTGAATTCATATTCATAAAATGTCAAGATGGGATTCATAGACTGTCAAGATGGAATTCATAGACTGTCAGGAAGATGGGATTCATAGACTTTCGAAGTGGGATTCATGGACTGTCAAGATGGGATTCAAAGCCTGTGTCGTGTGATTCAAGAGGCATGAGTGATATCCCTTTGTATATACGTTCCCATGTTATCGCCTTGAGGGTTGCCAGAGTGAGTGAGTCTGACTTAGGACGCTTTTTTGTAGCTTATAAAACTAAAAATCACATAATTCATGCAGATCACAGATTATTATAATAAATCGGTTTTGTACCTGAAACATTTTTATTTTAAATTTGGTACAAATTTGTCATTCTAACATTAATCCAGCTTTCGTGTACTGCACACAGTGCACATTAAATGGAGAGGACAAATCAGCCACGAGAAGCTCAGCCTGGTCTTAAGACACTGTTCAAATACTGATAGTCACGGATCTTATTTTAAGGCTGGTGAGAAACGTCCGTGCAGACATCTCAGATATGTATCCTCAGGCCTATACGTTCTGTGAGGATATCGGAAAGCTTAAACTGATATGAATGAGTGAGTGAGTTTGGTTTTACACCGCTTTTACCAATATTCCAGCAATATCACTGCTGGGACACCAGAAATGGGCTTCACACATTGTACCCATGTGGGGAATCGAATCCGAGTCTTCGGCTATACTGATATGGATGATTCCCGAACGTTAATAAAGAAGAAATTGTGGGAAAGATTCCAGTTGAAAACAAACCCAACAAATGACAGATAATTTACTGAAGGCCACAAGGGCCGCCAAATATTTGAAACTGTCGGCGCGATACAATAACAACCAGCGCTGGGCCTCCGGGCCGGCGAATATTTCGAACGCTGGTTCGAATCCCGGTCCTCCCGATCATGTTTGTATCTGTCAGTACCATATCAGTGCTCGTGGGATTCACACACGTGGTCAGCATCCGGGTCCTCCATCATTTTTGACTTTTCTCTCATATACCGTTTAGATCGGAGTTGAAACCAAACCATTTTCTACACACAAATACGTTCACGGGATTAAACAATAATAATGAGAATACAGGCTTCATATCCTCCTCAAAGCAAACAGTCTGATTATCATTATCCCGGATAACACAATCTGTGTGAGGCGCTAGAAGGTTAATAGCTTCATGACTTATTACACTGGGTACCCTTTTTCTGCAATATACACCTCGATGTTTACTCTCGCTGCTCAGGTTTTCTGAGGTGCACAGGTGATAGAATGAACAGTTAGTACTCATACATGTCAGATTCTGACTGGGTGAGATCCACTCTACTACATTTATTTTTGATATACCCTGCTAGTATGTATGATACATCACTCCTGTTCTCCGCACGATTTGCCAAAATGGCATACCATTTGCAACATTCCCAGTGCAATTTTGTATATAGAATGAATGATGTAAGACACCATTACCCGGATATTTACGATATTTTCCGAATGAAACAGATATTGAACTCTTAGCCTGCTCTAAGTTGGTGTTCCGTTGTCCCTGTTTTACCTAACAGTAATAATCTTGCCAATTCAGATCCAAATCTACAATAAAATTGTGTGTCCGCCCATCCTTCGGGTGGTGATGATGATGTGTACTTTTATAGCGCTAAATTCCACACACCACGTGCATGCTCAAAACGCATACAAATTAAAGATCATAAGATGAGAATGGGCTTGTGAGCGAAGCGATCCACCTGGTGACACTGGTTGATTCCACTGTGAGACCAATTCATTCAACTGGATACATAAATATTAATCAGTATTATTTGATACATCTTACCACTTGTATATTGCAACACTACGCTCTTTCTAATCCTTGCAAACACGTCGTGCAGCGTGCTCTGTCGTACAACGTGCTCTGACAATCGGAAATCTGGAAATCGCGGTAATCTCAAAACGAGGCTCTGCCGCTAGAAAAGTTTGGCGGTCTGGTACGGACTTGATATTACATCAATCACATTGTGCATAACAAATCTACACTGAATAAGCGCAAAGAATACATAACAGGTGTAACGACCTCATCAAACAGGAGCAGTCTGTTACGTCTTAGTTAATGTCATTCTGCCTACACCTCGCCATTAAATATAGAAATACGATGTTATTGAAGTTTAAAATTAAAATAAACTTGTAAATACCATTTTCTTATGAAACAAGGAATTCGAATTCAGTGTAACCATAGTTGTTTGTGGTGTCTCTTTGCACTTTCACACGAGAAAATTCGTATCGGCTGAAAAGAAGGTCATTGTCTGAATAGGTCAATGAGACTCATTTGTTGGTTTGCAGATTATTGTAATAAATCGGTTTTGTACCTGAAACATTTTTATTTTAAATTTGGTACAAATTTGTCACTCTAACATTGCTACAGCTTTCGTGTACTGCACACAGTGCACATTAAATGGAGAGGATAAATCAGCCACGGTGTCGGGCTATATACAGCTAGATAATCTCAGCCTGGTCTTAAGACACTGTTCAAATACTGATAGTCACGGGTCTTATTTTAAGGCTGGTGAGAAACGTCCGTGTAGACATCTCAGATATGTATCCTCAGGCCTATACGTTCTGTGAGGATATCGGAAAGCTTAAACTGATATGAGTGAGTGAGTGAGTTTGGTTTTACACCGCTTTTACCAATATTCCAGCAATATCACGGCGGGGACAACAGAAATGGGCTTCACACATTGTACCCATGTGGGGAATCGAATCCGAGTCTTCGGCTATACTGATATGAAGGCAGAAGGTGACCTGAGATTGCATCCCTTAGCAGCAGCACGATCCGCTGAAGGCTGATTAAATCAAAGATATTATTAAGTAGACATCGTAGGCTGTCAGCATTACAATACAAAGTAATTTTCCAAGGAGTGAATCGTTCAGTCGCCAATGTGTATACTCAGTCACTCTATCATTCACACCATTACTCGCTCACCTACGCACGCACGAACGCACGCACGTACGCACGCATCACACGCTGTCACCCCACAGGTGTCAACAGAGATCAGCACGGTATTTAGAGATTATCTGTTATTTCACCGACCACCTATTAGTTCGGATACAAACAACACTGTTGGTATCTGGATGTCGTCACTGCGAAATTCATGATGATGCACTGGTTTATGAAACTATATAAATGAATGGAGCCAGTGATGAAGTCATCTGTTCATTCACATCAGCAACAGGATGAAGAACCAGGCAGTCATACTTTGTGTCGTACTTGGTAAGTATATCAGTCGTCCAGCTCATCCAGACTGCCGCAATGCTGTTACCGTTGGATTATATGTTTTAGTCCATATACCGGTCTTTTAAATTATGTGATATGTCTGTGTGAGATATGCCTTCTATTGACCCATGAGGATCGGGGTTAGAATTAATTTTCAGTAACCCATGATTGTCGCAAGAGGCGACTAACGGGATCGGGTGGTCAGACTCGCTGACTTTTGATACATGTGATCTAATTGCGTAGATCGATGCTCATGCTGTTGATCACTGGATTCACTGGTCCAAACTCGATTGTTTGCAGACTGCCGCTATATAGCTGGAATATTGCTGAGTGCGGCGTAAAAGTGAACTCACACACTACAATTCTGCGATGTCTGATATATTGCAAACTAACTGCAAATGTAAGGAAATGTTGAAAGACCAGAATAATAAAGTGATAATAAAACAATGATATAACAACACAGAACTATTGCAGTTGCAGTTGTCTTTCTGGCTCTGTGTGACGCTCATGGGCACGGGCACGGTCACGGACACGGTCATGGACATGGTCATGGTCACGGTCATGGACATGGTCACGGTCATGGTCACGGACACGGTCATGGACACGGACACGGTCACGGTCATGGACATGGTCACGGACACGGTCACGGACATGGTCACGGTCATGGTCATGGTCACGGTCATGGACATGGTCATGGTCACGGACATGGACATGGTCACGGTCATGGTCACGGACACGGTCATGGACACGGACACGGTCATGGACACGGTCACGGTCATGGACACGGTCACGGTCATGGACATGGTCACGGTCACGGACACGGTCACGGACATGGGCATCATGGATAAACATATAGAAGGTACAAATGTATTAATAAGTATTTTATAATAATCTGTATTTTGGATGAGTCCATTCTGAATAACTTTTAGCGAGCTGGGGATCAAACATCGATATCTTGACTGTCAGAGTTCATCATTGTACCCTACGCCGTTCAACCATATACCGTTGACCCAACCCCGCTCACAATCCTTCGGCTTCATGATGAATGAAAGCTGAATGTAATGAAGTTGTTAGAAGTTTACCTTCTCACAAAAGCCACAGACACGTGTTTGGTGCAAGTACGATCACACGATCCTGGTACATCTAAAGGAAGCAGCTCAGCTCAGTATTTACACATGATCATAAAATAATGTGGATCGGCACTCAAATTCATTACTTGACAGCTTGTCTTGATTCATCCCACTTCAGCTTACTCATTCACTCTTTCATATCGAAAGAGAAATACATTTTACACATTGCCAGCGCAAACGTATGTACCACAAATCATAAGCTAATTACGTCTTTGTTTCAGATGTTCGACGGAAGTTCTGAGAACCAATCAAAAGGGAGGCTATGGGATGTATACAATGAAACGAATAAAATAATGTTCAGAATCTTGAAAAAATCCGTTTTGCTTTTGATACAACATAGTACGTTACACGCAAATACCAGTGGAGTGTTGCGTCCCTTGGCACGTCAGAAAGCTATGACAGAGTGTTCGAATCAGTGTTTGCAATACTCTAATTTGCCAGTTGGCCATCAGGGCCTGCTGCAGCCTGCAATATTTAAAATCTACATGCCCTGAATGAAATCTGCAGGTCCATTTTGTTGAAGTCAAAGCCATAAACACAAAATAGACTACACTGTACACAGTTTCAAACTGTTTCTACAAATCAATTAGCGAAGCCAATCGCAGAGAGAGACGTTTTCATTTGTTGAAGACTTGTGTTGACATTCCTATGCGCAAAGCGCTGAAATACCTGGAAGTGAAAGTATAAGTTATCGTAACATGACGTATCATGGATGATTCCCGAACGTTAATAAAGAAAAAATTATGGGAAAGATTCCAGTTGAAAAAAACAACAACAAATGACATAATTTACTGAAGGCCACAAGGGCCGCCAAATATTTGAACCTGTCGGCGTGATACAATAACAACCGGCGCAGGGCCTCCGGGCCGGCGATTATTTCGAACGCTGGTTCG